GCCTTGCTGGCGGCGGATCTGGGTGCCCCTGTCCAGATCCGGGTGGTGGCGGCGGCAGTCGTGTGGGTGGCGGCTGCGACCTGGCTTAGGTGGTGGCGGGGCGCCGGGTGTCCAGGGCCGAGGGGTGGGCTGTGTCTCCGTCGGCGTGTCGCAGCCGCTGCAAAGCGGCTCGGGGCTGCTCCTCGGGGTCTCGGCGTGGATGTGGGCTGCCGCGGCGTGGTGGTAGCTCCTGGTGGTGGTCTGGATCGTTTCACAGCGGCGGCTGGTCTCCTCCGGCGCCGGCCGTCGGTGAGCGGCCTTTTTCGACCTTCGATTCCTCCCCTCGTCGTCCGGGCTCTACCCTCGTCATAGGGCTGGACTGCTCCCGGTTGCGGTCCATTGCTCGTCTCGCGCCCGTGGCTGCGAGACCGAGTTCGTCTCGCGCCCGGCAGCAGGACCGAGCTCGTCTCGCGCCCGGCAGCAGGACCGACCTCGTCTCGCGCCCGGCAGCAGGACCGAGCTTGTCTTGCACCCGGTGCAGCAGGACGGGTGATGGAGGCCATTTTTGGGCCGGCCCTTTGGGTCTCGGCGCCGGGGGCCGTCTAGGGGTGTGTAAAGGAGCGACCTTTCCACTCGTCTCTTTGGTTGGGGTAGCAACGGGTCTCGGGTGCGGTGGTGTCAAGGTCTTGGATACCGGGGCGGCGGCCTTGGTGGTGGTAGCGCGGTGCTCATGGGCAGAGCCCGTGGCTTGGTGCTGCCCGGTGACCATGGCCGTGTGGGCGGCATGGTGGCAGGGGTGTGGCGTTCGGTGGCGGTGAGTGTTTGTCGGGGTGAAAACCTGTTCTATCCTCGGACGGACCGGCGGCGGCGTAGCGCGTTACCTTCTTGAAGGCGTCGTCGCGGCTCTCACCGGTCATCGTGTCGCTCCAGGGGAAACTCTGACCCCCGGGTCAGGCGGTGGCAGCGCGATAGCGTCGTAACCTTCTTGGAGGCGCCGCCTTGGAGCTTACGGATCGTCATATGCGGCTTCATCTCTTCACGGTGGCGTGTTCACGGTGAAGGTCCTCGATTGCTCTTGTAGTGTTAGGGGTGGTGTTGCTGCGCTCAGCGCCTATGTATCCCGCCTTGGGTGTGTGTGTGTTGTTGTGGGGTGTGTTTGTACTTGGGCTGTGGTTGATCTGTGCTTTATATATAAAGCGGGACGAAAGCCTTTTTCGGCAAAAGGGCCACATCCGGCGATATAGAACTAAAAAGTGCCACATCCGGCGATAAAGAACAAGCTACGATGCCTACACACTTAGCTTATTATTAGTTCGTCATCTAAATTGGCTGAAGATAGCCCGTGCTACCATCTAGACAATGATAAAGCTGGACCCTCTAGACGACAACGAAACTTGACTGGTTTGCTCGCAATCAGGTGTTTCTTGATGTTCCTTCATTCAGTTACATACTTCCTTTATCAGCATCATCATAGCAACCAAACTTTTTTGAGTATTGGTTATTTTTAACGAATTAGACTACAGATTTTCTTCATCGTATTTCTTCAAGCTAGCTATCTCATAGGAATATCAATGAGGCACTCTCCGTTCTATGAAGAAAAATTTGGTACCCTGAAAATGATATCAAGTTTGGTCACTTCTATTATTTCGACATGATCAACAGCTACTAGTCCACTTGTCAAGATGCTTACAAGCTAGCCAAGCCTTTCTGCGGCTGCATCGACGATGGTCTGCACAAGGGACGGCCACTGGAGCTCGTCGGCGGCGGCGGGGCCGGGGTTGCCGGCGGAGCAGTTCCGTCGGACCTCTCCCAGGTCGCTGGTGCGCACCCTCATCTGGCCCATCTTGCCCATGGACACGCCGAACTGCTCGAAGAAGTCTCGCTGGCTCCGCGCAAAACGCTCGACGATGGGCCGGGTGATGTCGTTGGTGAAGAGGTCCTGATCGGAGACGAAGAGCCCCTCCCGGTTCACCAGGTCGACATAGTACTGGTTGTCGAACACGTTGGGCGTGCGCACGTCCAGCACGGTGCGGCGGTCGGTGCCCTTGGCAGGGCACGTCCCCTTCAGTCTGGCGAGGAAGGGGGGGTTGATGGTGGGGTCGGGGCGCGGGAAGAGGCGGTCCTCGAAGGAGGAGCAGTGCGCCTGCCCGATGGTGTGGCCGCCGGAGATTGTGACGAGGTCGGTGGCGTCGAGGCCGAGGGGCCGGAGCAGGGCGAGCAGCGACGGCACGTTCGAGGAGGGCGCCGGCAGGTCAGACAGCACGTCCTGCCGTGAGGCGAAGCGGCGGCTGTCGCGGCGGCCGAGCGGCACGCGGTAGTCGGGCCCTCCAGAGACGACCACGGAGTCGCGGGCGGCGAGCGCGAGGATGTCGGCACAGGAGACGACGGCGCCGTGGCACTCGCGCTCCAGCCGGTCCCGGATGTCGTTGACGGCCTTGAAGGCAGATGGGCGGAGCGTGAGGTTGGGCGGCGCCTGCTGCTCTCCCGGCCCCGTGGCCGAGCCGTCGAGGAGCACGGAGGCGTCGCAGCCCTGCACGAAGCAGTCGTGGAAGTGGAGGCGGAGGAGGCCCGCGGCGAGTCCGATGTCCTTGCGAACGGCGTCCTGGACGAAGCCCCGCACGATGGACTCCGCCCGCGGGCAGGTCCGCCGGTAGAAGTCGAACGACAGACCACGTGCCACCGGAGGCTCGGCCGCAGAAGCCCCATGCCCAAGCGAGCTGGCCACTACCACAGCCACCGCCACTACCACTGCTGCTAGCGGAGGAGCACGAGCCATCTCTCCTCTCCCTGTGGCTGTGTGTGTGAGTGTCACAGCAGCTGCGTTTGCCTGGACTGCTCTGCTGTGCTACGATTTTTGTCCACACTGCTGATCAGCACACCACCTGATAACTCATCGTACAAGGATCAACAAGTAGTTCCAACTAAATAAAGTGAAACCAGGTAGCTAGATTCCAGAGTCGAGGCTCAACCTCTTGTCTAAGGATTGGAACAGGTGACATGGCATTGCCAAGACGTCAATCCGCCATGTCTGTCGGTTGCTTACTACGCACGAGGGTCATCACGCCATAGAGTAAATCCAACGGAAAAAAATTATATGAGACCAGGTCTCATATAAATCAGGTGAGACCCGCCTTGATGGATGACATGTGGCATTCACAAATCACAAAGTATCTAATCTCTCCCCCCCTGATTTCAGGTGGGGGTGGGGTGGATGCTTTGTGATTTGCGAATGCCACGTGTCATCCATCAGGATGGGTCTCACCTGCTAATCCATGAGACCTGGTCTCATAGAATTTTTTTCCAAATCCAACCGAGACGCTGACACACCTTGGACAAACATGCCGATTTTGAGTGAAAACTCATGCGCTACGGCTACCCACGGCCGGCACCTCCATCTATAGACGGAGTTGGTTATGGGAAAGGCCACGCGTGCCATCGTAGACAAATCACAGGGTGCTTGTTTAGATTCAAGAGAGGGTTGATTTGGCTAATGAAAACAAATCACAGGAGATCACACAAGAAAAAAATGCGAGGGAGTAGAGTCGTGTTTTTTGATCAACCAAACATATTCGTCACGTGTCTGAAGAAAAAAAATGATCGACAATTCGGAAAATAGTCTAGTAATGAAACTATTTACATTTTCTGACAATATCCCAACTGAAGTTTTATTAAATCAGTGACACTTATTTTGGGACACTAATGAGACTCATCTCAAACATGCAGACATTTACATCATGCTCTAAAGGAAGGCAATGAATGAACGGAGCTGGATCCCCTAGCGTACTACACCATGATGTGCGGCCACTGGCGTGTACCGTGTACGGATGCATGGTCCACATATCAGTGCGCTAGGGAGTGTATCCGGTGCACCGGTGCTTGTGGTGTACCGGTGAACCGGACCTCCTAGCACATTTTATAAGGTTTCAAAAAATGGAAAAAAGTTTAGCACATTCAATGTTTGTTCTCTCAAAATTTTAAATCAAAATTCAAAGCATTGCTAAAAATGATAAATTTGACGTCAATGAGGCAATGGGCCAAATCTAATGCCCAACTTATATTACATACTATTTCAGTGTTAAATTTGTCATTTTTGTAACTTGAGCAATATTTTGAATTTTGGTTTGAAATGTTGTGACAACAATCATTGATGTTGTATGAATGTGCTCAAGTTTTTTTTTCACATTTCCCCAAGTGTGCTAACGGAACGTCAGGGGTGCCTCGTCATGAATGAACTGCATTCATGTGTAGAACCACAAGCACCAGCGCATTGTATATTTTCCCTAGTGGGCTAACGCCACGTCATGGGAGCCGCATCCTGAATGAACTGCCTTCATGTGAAGTGCGATAATAGCTGTCTACTGGACATCTTTACATGAATAACATCCACGAGCAACCATCTGCCAAATGCATGTGCAAGTAAGGAGTGTTGGGCAATAAGCCGCAGCGAGCCCGTGAAAGTGCGTTATATCGACTAGAGGGGGGCTGAATAGGCGATTTTTATGAATTCCTCACTGAGGAATTTGCCGGTGAGGAAATTCCTTAGCGAAGAACTACTAGCAGCGGAATAAGTACTCAGAAGTAAGCATAACAGGATACAGACATAGTCATCATGATGAAATGAAGACAAACACAGAGTACAGGAAGCGTAAACACAGGATAACACAAGATGAAGACAAACAGACTGAAGAAATTGGACTGAGGAAATTGAGAAAGTCTTCAATCAAAGTCTTCAAACACAGATATGAACAATCACTCAACACAGTAATGAGGAAATGAAATAGTTGATGAAATAGAACTAGTAAGGTTGGTGAAGACAATAATTTGGTAGACCAGCTCCAAGTGCTGTCTCAGTTGTACGTCTGGTTGGAGCGGCTGAGTATTTAAACTCGAGGACACACAGTCCCAGACACCCAGTCGCTGAGCTCGCAGCTCAGGACACCAAGTCCTCACCGTATTCTCCTTGAACTAAGGTCAAGCAGACCTCGTCCAATCACTCGTGGTACGACTTCAGGCGACTTCCAAACCTTCACAGACTCGGATGCTCTAGACCATGACGCCTAACCGTCTGGAAGAAGCACAGGCTTCAAAGGTAACAAGCGTCGGATCCACGCAGGATCAATCCCTTCAGTGATGCTCAATCACTTTGGGGTTTTTAGGTGTATGGGTTTGGGTTTTTCCTCACTCGATGATTTTCGCTCAAAGTCCTCGGAGGATGGGTTGCTCTCAAATGACAAGTGTCAGTTTCTCTCGGAGCAGCCAACCAGCTAGTGGTTGTAGGGGGCGGCTATTTATAGCCTAGGGAGAAGATCGACATGATAAGACATAAATGCCATTGTCTGATATGGCCATTAGGTGGATAAGATGTTTTGGGACAGCTGGCGCGCAGCACAACAACGGTCGGAAATTTGACTATCAAATTCCTCAGGGCTATCATGTTCCTCACTGTGTAGGCAATCCGCACTGGCGAATCCCTAACTCCTCAATCAGAACAAATTCCTCAGCGATCAGAAGAACTTCGTCTCTGTCACTGAAGAAATTGACTGAACTGTATGATATTTCCAAAGGCTTCACTCGAAGGGTTTGGTAGGTGTAGGATTTTGAGTTGAGCATCACATGGAAATTTTTACTTAGTATTTCCTCGACCCCCTTTAACAGTACGGTGTTTCCTATGACTCAAGAAAGAGAAAAACAAAACTATGAAAACGAAAGTCTTCAAGCTTCATATTCCTCGCATGAATATCAAGTCTTCACGGATACACCAATTTCTTCACTTTTAAAGTCTTCATGAAAGTCTTCAGGAATATCAAAATCTTCAGTCGAAGATATTCATTTTTAGGGGTCGACTTTCTCTGTAAATATCAAACTCCTTATAGACTTATAGACCCGTGTACACTCACAAACACATTAGTCCCTTAACCTATAAGTATTCAATACACCAAAATCACTAAGGGGCACTAGATGCACTTACAATCTCCCCCTTTTTGGTGATTGATGACAATATAGGTTAAGTTTTCAACGGGGATAGACATATGAAGTGTAAGTACTGATATTGAGGAATTTGATTGCAAGATATAGAAGAACTCCCCCTGAAGATGTGCATAGTGAGGAATTTGCTTTTGAAGCAATGCAGACTTGAAGAGTTGAATCATGGAGATCTCCCCCTATATCTTGTAATTCATACACGCATTTAACATATAATATGAAGAATTTGAAATGCATGATGAAATATGGTGCCTGATGAAATTCAACATGCGTGCAATAATATTAATGAGGAACAAGCGTGCAGAATAACGTATCAAGAGTATCAAAGCACAGTGCATCAAAAGTATCAGGGCACCATCGGGTTTAAGATTACAACTCGATCCAATAAAGTTTCAGAAGAACGAGAGTTGTAACTTAGCAAAAACAACGCCCATATAATAGACCCGCTTGAAGACTAACTCAAATTTTCCCCCTTTGTCATTGAATGACCAAAAGGTTCGAAAGTGAGGACTAACGCCCCTGAAGAATATCATGTTGATGGAGGAGCGCCAGCGTTGGGGTAGATAGTCATAGTAGGGCGTGCCGCAGTGTCGCCCAAATCTTCATTTTCATCAGTGTCGCGTGATGAAGAATAGGAGCTGGCCACCAAGGAAGGAACCTTGACCTTCTTGAATTTCTTCGGTGGAGGTGCAGACCAGTCAAATTCTTCCTTGAGACCCATATTCTTCAGATCTGCAGCGCTATAGACATGTGATAGAACAGCCCAGGTACGGTTGAAGGTTTCATGGAGGTAGTATTGGTTTTTCTTCACTGTATTGTGTGTTGATGTCATGTTGTGAAGAATTGAACCAAACTGACGCTTGACCCATTTGTGATTGCGATCAACCTTCTGATGAAGACTGAGGAGTAACTCACGATCAGTCATCACCTTGGGAGCTGTGGCTTGAGGATTTTGCTTGGCGGCAGAGTCATGTGTGGCAGAGTCATCATTGGTGGAGTAGGATGCAGCCTTGCGAAATTGACCATCCAATGGACGAATGCCTTCATCTATCACAGCAGTTCCCTTGCCTTTGTCATCAGCTGAGGAATATGTCCGTTTGAGGACTTCAATCGGAGGCAAGTAGCTGCCATGGTTCAAAGTGTCAGCTTTGTAATTTAGTGAAGCCCTTGTCCTGATGAATCTCATAATCCATGGTGCATACACTAGTAGAAAAGGGGGCAATGGTCCAGGCCGGGTCAGCCCATTAGTCCCGGTTCAATCCAGAACCGGGACCAATGCGGGCATTGGACCCGGTTCGTGAGCCCCGGGGGCCGGCGGGCCACGTGGGCCATTGGTCCCGGTTCGGCTGGACCTATTGGTTCCGGTTGGTGGGACGAACTGGGACCAATGCGCATCGCTCCTGGCCCACCACCATTGGTCCCGGTTGTTGGCTTGAACCGGGACCAAAGGCTGCCCTTTAGTCCCGGTTCGTGGCACGAACCGGGACCAATTAGTTGCCTATATCTACCCCGCGAGCAGAGCACTCCCACTGCTCTATTTTTCGTGGCCGGCGAGGGGAGAGCTTTGTGGTGCTCTAGCTCACCTCCTATGCACACCGGTGTTCGACGGAATGCCCGAGCCACACTACTTAAGCTTTCTCCTCTCCAAGCTCGACCTCCAAGGTCCATTTTCCTCAATATTTGTCTAGGTTTAGCGGTCCGTCACGTCCCGTCCCCGTTTCACCGCTGTCGATCGCCCGTGCCGATCTCGTCGCCGGCACCACCGTGGTGAGCCTCTTGTTCTTATCTTCTTTC